AAGCCTTCTGAGTTCTAGTTTCCAATGCCACAAAGTTCTCTCAAGTCTTTTCTCCCTCTTACAAATTTATAAGTCTATAAAAAAATTCCTACTTGTTTTGAGAAAATAGAAACAAGTGGCTGTCCTTCAGTTCACCCCCACTAATCACACAAGCAGACCTGTACGTGGATCTTTAGTCTCTACCTAATTTTAGTGACACTGCACACACCTGGTTTCCTTCTCCAACATACTTCTAAATGTTGAGTGTCCCTTTCTCCCTAGATAATCTCACCTAATCCTATGACTTTAGATACCATTATATGCTAATGATTCCCAGATTTGTATCTGCAAATCCCAAACTCTCCTTGATCTCCAGGTTCATATCCAACTATGGACCTGAAGGCTCCACTTACACATCTAAATAATGAGTGTCTTATACATAACACATCCTCAAAAAGAACTTTTGATTCCCCCCTTAAATTGGTTCCTTCTCAGCCATCTCTACCTTAGTAAATGGTTACAAAACATCTAGTTAAAACAACAACAACAACAACAAAATACCAAACCTACTGCCATCGAGTCATTTCTGACTCATAGCAACCCTACAGAACAGAGTAGAACTGTCCCATAGGATTTTCAAGGCTGTAGATCTTTACAGAAGCATACTGCCTCATCTTTCTCCCACAGAGTGGCTGGTGGGTTCAAACCACTGATCTTTTGGTTAAAAACCATCATCCTTGCTTCTTCCTTTAGCATTGGCAAGTGTTGTGCGCTCACCTCCAGTATGCATCTCAAATCCATCGTTTGCTCTCTTTCTCCATGACCATAACACTGGTTCTTGTCTCCATCAGCCCTGGCCTGAACAACTCCTACCTGATTGGTGTCTCTTCCTCTTCCATACCCCCACCATCTGCTTTCAACCCAGCAGCCTGAGCCATCTTTTAAATGGACATGAGATCATGTCATTCCCTTGCTTAAAATCCCTTAGTGGCTTCCCAGTGCAATTAGAATAAAATTCAGCCTTCTTCCCTGACCTTAAAAGGGCAGTGATGGTTCAGTGGTAGAATTCTCACCATCCATCCAGGTTCCATAAACCCTGGTGGCACAGTGGTTAAGCACTCAGCTGCTAACTGAAAGGTCAGTGGTTTGAACCTACCAACCGTTCTGTGGGAGAAAGATATGGCAGTCTGCTTCCCTAAAGATTAGTCTTGGAAACCCTATGGGGCAGTTCTACTCTGTCCTAAAGGGTTGCTATGAGTTAGAATCAACTCAATGGCAATGGGTTTAGTTTGGGTTTTGGGTGTCTAAGATATTATTGGGAGCTCTGGTAGCGTAGTCCCTAAGGCACTTGACTGCTAACCAGAAGGCTGGAGGTTCAAACCCACCAGCCACTCCTCAGAAGGAAGGTTGGGCAATCTACTTCCATAGTATACCACCTCAGAAACCCAAGAAAACCAAGAAGGTTGCTATGAGTTGAGTCCAACTTGATGGCACATAACAACAACAAGATATTATCATTTCAACATGTAAGCAAAATAACAAATTAATAATGAGATATTTTATATTAATTTTTTTGTACTAAGTCTTCAAAATTCAGTGTATATTTCACACTTAGAGCACTTCAGATGAGCCACGTTTCCAATGTTCAAGAGCCACATGTGGCTAGTGACTTCCATATTGGCTAGTTCAGCTCTACGTATGTTGTTGTGGTTAGCCGCCTTCCAGTCAGCCCCTGACTTATGGCAACTCCATGTGTTACAGAGTAGAACTGTTTCATTGGGTTTTCTAGGCTGTAATCTTCATGAAGGAGCCCTAAAGGTACAGTGGTTAAACACTCAGTAGCTAAAGGATAGGTCAGTGGTTTAAAAGAGAAAGATGTGGCCATCTATTTCCCTAAAGATTACAGTCTTGAAAACCCTATAAGGTACCCTATCCTATAGGGCTGCTATGAGTCTCAGTCAACTCAATAGCAGTAGGTTTGGTTTTGGTTTTGGTAATCTTTATGGAAGCATTTTTTCCCCAGGCCTTTTCTTCCTCAGAGCCACTGGATGAGTTTGAAAAGCCATCATTTTGGTTAGCAGCCAATCACAAACAACTTGTGCCACCTAGGGCTAATAAAAATTCACTTTTTAGCCAAGAGATTTCAAGCAGCTAAGTGATGGGGGAGCTTGGGTGGCGTAGTGCCTAAGGCACTTGACTGCTAACCAGAAGGCTGGTGGGTTCAAACTCACCAGTCACTGCTCGGAAGGAAGGTTGAGCAATCTACTTCTGTAGTGATACTGCCTCGGAAACCCAAGGAGGGGTTGTTATGAGTTGGATCCTACTTGACAGCAGTGAGTTTGGTTTAGTTTGGTATGAGTGATGGCTCTTATAAAGGTGTGGTACCAGTTGCTGGTCCTCCTCTCCAGTGATTTGATTCTCCCCTTGCTCTGTCCAGTCACCCAACTGCCAGGAGGGATGGTATCGAGAAATATTTTACTTAATTAGTGGGCAGCTTGTACTCCAGTTGAGAGGGCAGAATTAAATTTCTAAGTTTTAGATATTGTACCCTAATATCCTCTCCCTTCTTCCCCATTGACCCATCACAGAATTGTGTAGTCATAGAATCAAGTAATGTTAGATCTGACCTGCAAGACACTGCCATTGAGTCAAATCAGACTCATAGCGACCCCTTCTTGGGTTTCTGAGGCAATATTACTATGGAAGTAGATTGCCCAATCTTCCTTCCAAGGAGTGGCTGGTGGGTTTGAACCCCCAGCCTTCTGGTTAGCAGTCAAATGCCTCAGGCACTACGCCATGAGATCTGACCTAACAACCTAATTTAAAAAAAAAAAAAATACATAATGAATCTTTAGCTTAGCAAAGCACAGTAACTTTCCTGAGATTACACAGGTTCCATCAAACTCCACACCCTCACCTTACAGTCTCACTTTCTTCTGATAAGGTCAAGAATTACCCATCTCCTACATCTAGCCAAACATGATAACCTCTGCTCTCCACATGACCTGTGCTGTTTTGTCTCTTCTCAGGTTGTGGTCTTGCTTGACACAACACTCCTACCTCCTTTCCATCCCACTTTCCCAAATCCCTCCCAGTCACCATGATTCTGCTCTGTCTTCTTGAGGAACCAAAAAAATCCCTTGCCATGAAATCGATTACAACTTATGGTTGGGTTTCCAAGGTAGGAAATCTTCACAGAAGTAGATTGCACAGTCTTCTTTGTGGAGTGCTTGGTGGGTTTGAACCACCAGCCTTCTGGTTAGCAGTCAAATGCCTTAGGCACTGCACCACCAGAGCTCCTTACCTTCTTGAGAAAGACTCCCACATACCCTCAACCTCAAAGCCCTCCACCAAGGAGTTTCTAACTCCATCTTCATGTCATATCACTAATAGTTTTCATGATAATGGTTTAGTAAATGCTTGTTCTTCCTTCTTGTCCACACTTCACAATTCAAATCTTCAGCAAAGGGCTGAATGACCACTTCAGCCTTGGCTAACTGCCTTAATTTTTCTCTCATGCATTATTCTATTTCACATTCTCAAAATACCATTAGATGATTACTATTATCCCCATTTACAGATGAGAAAACTGAGGCTTAGAGAAACTCAATAACTTGCCCCCACACCTGGGGCAGGTCTGGACTAACCTCCCGGATTATAAGACTTGCTCTTAAACACTGTAACATGTACATAAAGGTTGAATTGAAATCACTGACTTTTTAATTGATGTTTTCCTGATTATAGTACAAGTTCATTATAAGATCATCTAGAAAATGCAAGAATGCAACGTGTAAAAAATGAAAATTCCCTTTTTTCGTGAGACATGAACTGAATTCATCTTGTCCCCAACAGGGTAGGATCAAGTCGCTCAGAATGAAAGAAGGTACTGAGCCAAAAGTGTGATCCATGAGTGATGAGGCTTGCCCTGTCTGGAACTCATCTCCAGAGCCCCAGGGAACCTGGCTGTCCCCTGGACCCTAATGATCAATAAAGTTCAAGCAGTTAAACAAGCGTTTGAGTCATATTTGCGGAGTGTTCAAGAAAGGGTTGTTGTTGTTGTTGTTGTTATGTGCCGTCGAGTCGGCCCCGACTCATAGCGACCCCTCCTTGGGTTTCCGAGGCAGTATCACTACGGAAGTAGGATTGCCCAACCTTCCTTCCGAGGAGTGGCTGGTGGGTTTGAACCGCCAGCCTTCTGGTTAGCAGTCAAGTGCTTTAGCCACTATGCTACGTAATGGGCTCAAATACAGCAATGATTGTGAAGATGGCGCAGGACTCGACAGTGTTTCAATCTGTTATATAAAGAAGGGCTGTGAGTCTGAACCGACTGGACGGCACCTAACAAAAACGAAGAGTCACGGACGCGACATAGGACTGTCATATTCTCTGTGGGTCTCACTTTCCTCATCTTTAAAGGTCCCCTCACAGGGTTGATAGGGCCAAACATAAATTGTTTAAAGAAAGTAATTTATATTATATAGAGAAACACGCTCCACAAAACACATCATCTACATTTTCCAAAATCAGCTTGCCCTATTTGATCAACAGTTACATGGAGCAAAAGATCTGATACTTCAGATATCAGCACCCCAGCAAACGAGTACATGCATGAGAAATCCCCGCCTTCTCGCCTTCTTTCAGTGCACCAAGTGCCGGTTGGTCGGTTTCACAGTCGATCCCAGCTCTCCTCCTATCACCTCCACTCTGCGTTTCTTTCGGCCTGTGCTCTCATTGGTCCTCCCCGCTGTAGCTCTACGCCATGGGCGTTCTAGAATCAGCCACTGGTAGTCGTTGAATTTGGGTTTTAAAAAACGCGGGTAGTGAAGTAGGTAGTGCGAAAGATTTGAAGTAGGATTCGGCGTTGGGGGCAGCTGAGCGCCTACTCCTCCGAAACACGCTGCCTGCGCGGTCACAGACGCCGGCCTTTCGCTCCGCAAGTCCGAGAAGGAGCGAACGCCCGGAGGAACGGGGAACGGACGCCTGGCTCGGGGCGGAGCGCCGGGACCCACTCTGTACCAGCCATGGGCCCGCGCCGGAGGATCCGCAAGCCCGAAGCCCCGACAAGGCGCCGCCCAAGCCCGACCCCCAGCACCCCACGGCGGCGCACTTTAGGTAACCGGGCTGCCGCCCCTTTCCCTCAGAGCTGGCCCTCCTGCAGACTGTATGTGAGGTAGACAGGCCGTATCCCCGTCCTCTTATCACAAAGAGAGAAGGGGACTCGCTTGCCTGGGCTGAACCTGCCAGAGCCTAACCTTTTGACTCCGGTGCAGTGGTCTTCTTCTGCAAGGGATCAAGCGGCTCTGCCATCAGACATAGGCTGTGGGCACAGTCAAGGACCAAGCCCAGCGAGAGGCTGGAGAAGGGGAAAGGACTGACCCACAGAACCAGGCTCCTAAGAAATTCTCTTTATTGTTACTACTAGTATTTAATGAGTGCTTACTTAGCACTAACAATTCAGAAGAAAGGAAGCCTTTGAACACCCCACTCGGACGTGGGGTCGCCATCAGTCGGCATTAGCTCCACGGCAACTTTTATTTAAAAGAAACAAACAAAAAACACTAATAATGCATTGTGTTAAGCTCTTTACGTGCATTGTCTCAACTTTATAATATCCCTATTGTACAGCTAATGAGAAAACAGGCACAGGCCAGGTAACTTGAGCAAGGTCCCACAGCTTGTTCTAGCAGACACAGAATTTTTTAAAAAACTGTTTGTGCTTTTTAAAACTGCTTAAGTATTGGCGGCTTTCTGTAATAATTTCAAGTACAGGCCTCTTAGAAGGGATCTTTCCAGGGTTTTTTTCCTGAGTGTCTGTGTTGGGTATTGAACCAAGACCCTCTAACTCAAAGAGCTCTCATTTTAGTCCATTCCAGAAGTTGTGTCCCAGGAAGGAGAACAGAGTTTGTGGTCCTCAATTTCTGTCCTGTGGATGGGTGGCAATTGCTTTATTTATCTTCTAACTCTAATGTTATATAGGTAAGGACAGGGCAAAAAGAAGTGTATTACAGCTTATTTGTAGATGTTGCTGTTGTGAATGAGATTTTTCTTTCCTAAAACATAAGTCACCTTTGCACCCAGCCACCTTGCTGAATTCTCGTTAATCCTAATCATTTTTTAGTTGCTTCAGTTGAAATTTTTAAGTAGACCATTATATTGTCTAAGGGGCTCTGGTGGTATAGTGGTTAAGGCATTTGCCTGCTAACCAAAAGGTTAGTGGTTCGAACCCATTTACTCTTAGCTGATGATGACCTTGCCTTGGACTTCACTGAGAGAATAGAAACCTGTAAACTGGATTCCCCTCATCTCCCCACTGCAAAGAACCTAGATGACCCCCTTCCTATAAGCAACCACTCCTCCTTCTGTATGGGCTCATGGTCATATCCTCCTCTCACCTTCTCAGGGGCTTTCTGTTAATCTCTCTACATGCACTTGGCAGTCAATTCAACTTACATTTTTTTTCTCTATTAACTGAGATTCTTCTGGTATTGGTTATCTTGTTTGTTGAGTTTGGTTCCTTTCATGGTGTTGGCTTTCTTAAATTGTTTGATGAATTTTAGTTGTATTCACCTTTACATTTTCTGTGACTCTTATGTCTGTTTACTAAAGGCTGCTTCCAGTGACTGTGGATCACTGACTGGTACAGGGGAGAGGTGGAAACCAGTAGTTTATCTCCTAGCTCTGGGGCCTCTTTCTGTCTCCTAAATGTCATCAGTTACACTGCTGTTTCCATGTCCACGTTCCCAGTGGTGTAGTGCCTAAGGCATTGGACTGCTAACCAGAAGGCTGGCAGTTCAAACCCACCAGCCACTCCTCAGAAGGAAGATTGGCAATCTACTTCTGTAGAGATACCGCCTCGTTTGCCACGGAGGGGTTGCTATGAGTTGGAAACAACTTGACGGCACTGAATTTTTGGTAACCAGGGATGGTGTCTCCACTGCTAGCCATTGAGTCAGGCCCCAACTCATGGTAATAGAATATGCACAATAGAACAAAATCCTACCCATTCCGATACCATCCCATGATCTGTTTTAGATTTGATTGGTATGATCCACAGGTTATTCATTTTCTGATTTTCAGAAGTAGATTGTCAGGTCTTTCATCCTGTTCAGTCTTAGTCTGGAAGCTCCACTAAAACCTGTTTAGCATCATAGCAACATGCAAGCCTCCGACACATGGTGACTGCAAATGAGGCGCGCTAGCCAGTATACTGCATGGAAAGTGAGAATTCTGCCATTGAACAACCACTCTCCCCACCAGCTACCTGTAGCACAAGCTATCTCTGCATTGCCTTGCCTTCCCCTACTTGCTCTTCCAGCTCTTCTACACTGTTGTAGTTTGTTGTTAAACCCTTCTATTGAGCTGCTTCTGGGTTCTCTTTTCTTGGCTGGACTTTGAATAACGTTTCTGAAGTTAATTTTATTCTTCAAAATATTAGTTTCTGTTTTTCTGTATTGTATTCTTTGCTCAGAGTTTTAAACATATCAGATGTCTGTCCATTTAATTGGTCATAGGTATTATTTATTACTGGACTATTTTTTGTTTTATTCTTTTTCATTAGTATATTTTGTTTTAAGGAGCTCTGATGGCGCTGTGGTTAAAGCATTGGGCTACTAACCAGCTGTTCCACATGAGAAAAAGAGGAGGCAATCTGCTTCCACAAAGATTTACAGCCTTGGAAACCCTGTGGGGCAGCTCTACTCTTGTTGGGTTGCTATGAGTTCAAATCTAACTCAGTGGCAGTTTCCCCCACCCCACCCCTTTTTTTTTTCAATGTTTTATTATCTTTAATATTTCTTTTATGCAGATAATTTCTTGTGCTCTTTTTTTAATACATTTTATTAAAATATAATTTTTGTACAGTGAAATACACAAAACTGAAGCAACATGGGTCAATGCATTCTTCTTCTTTTTCTTTTTTGCAGTGTTCCCTCCCCTCCTCTCCTCTCCCACCCCAGGAAACCAACAAAGTTTTCTTATGTATATAAACCTTTCCTTGACCTTTTACGATAATGAACTAATGCTGTATTTGTCCTTCTGTGATTGACTTCTTTCACTCAGCATAATGTCCTCCAAGTTCATCCATGTTATGCGATATTTGCAGATTCTACATTATTCTTTAGTATTGCATAGTATTCCATTGTGTGTATGTACCATAGTTTGGTTATCCATTCTTCTGTTGATAGGCACCTAGGTTGTTTCTATCTTTTTCCTATTGTAAGTAGTGCTGTGATGAACATGGGTGTGCATGTATCTGCTCCTGTCCTGGCTCTCACTTCTTTAGGATATATACCTAGTAATGGGATTACTGGGTCAAATAGTATTTCTATTTCCAGCTTTTTAAGGAATCACCATACTGCTTTCCACAGTGGTTGTATCGTTTTACAGTCCCACTATGCTCTGCTACCTTAATGTTCTTGTTTTCTAATAGTTATATTTTAAGATTATACATTTTTGTCTAGTAATACTTTGTATCTCACAGGTTTTGAGTTGTAGACTTTTTTCTGTTCATTTCTAAATTCTCTGATTTCATTTAGATTTCCTCTTTAACATGAGTTATTTAGAAGAATTATTTTTTCATATTCTTGTGTTTTTAATTTCTAGTGTAAGTAAAATTTGTCAGAGAATATGAATTTTAAGATTTCTACTTTGGGGAATGATTTAAATTTTTTTTTTTTTTTGCCTTTTTTTGTTTGGAAGGAGGATTTGACCAAAGGCTCTTACTCCATAGGGTAAGTGCCTGCATTGGCACTGAGTTGTGCCACTTCTAAGGTCCCAACTCAGCCATTAGTGAACCTTGACCAACTGTCTTCACTTCTCTGGGCCTCAGGATAACCATGACAAGAAAATTTTACTAGATATTCTCAGATTCCTTCCAGCTTAAAAAAAGCTAAAAAGTGAGCTTCCGATCTACAGAAGAATGGGTAAGAAATGCACAGAGTACTGTGGGACCCAGACGAAGGAGGCGACGCATTAGTTGGAAAGGGATCAGGATTTGGGAAAGGTTTCATGGAAGAGTTGGCATTTGAGATAAACCTCAAAGGATCATTGATTCATTCACCTAGCATAGCATAGATACCTATCTATTGAGCACCAGTTTGCTGTTTTCTAGGCACTGGAGATAACAACAATGAATAAAATAGTCAAAAATTCTTGCTGTAGTGAAATGTATCATAGTCTAATGATTAGACATTTTTCTGTCTCTGTGTGAGGCACTACCTATTCTCCACTGCACTTTATGACCCAACCCTTTTTGCTCAGGTACTTCCTCCCGACGACCTGGCCGGTGGAGACCTCGAGTTCTGAAGGAGATCCGGAAGCTTCAGAAGAGCACAGACCTATTGTTAAGGAAGAGGCCCTTCAGCCTCCTGGTGAGCTCTAGGGAGCTGCCTACCAACCCCCATGCTGCCCTCTTTTCTTTATATTTCCTAGGTATTGAGGAGCCTACCATCTCTTGCCTAAATGGTTGAGGGACCTCTTCTCTAATCTGGTAGGAACTCTTCATCATCTGAAAGTATGAGCCCTCCAAAAGTACCTTCTAATTTGTTGTGGAATTAGTCTCTAAACCCCAGTCCGTTTGAAACTGGGCTCTTTGATTATACAAATAGGAATTCTGTCATCTACCCACCTTTTGGTTCTTTCCCTAACCTAAGAAATCACCTCGTCATCTCCCTCCCCCACCACCAATGAGAGATATGCCAGATCCTACGGTTCCAGGATTGACACCTGCTACTGAGCTAGGTCTGAGGATTAAGAGCCAGGAAGGAATAATGGAAACGAGGATTCATTGGAGACTCTTAGAGAGAGTCTATCTCCCCTTGAATCTCTTTTACTCTGTGCTCCTCTCTCATTCCCCTTCTCCATTCCCCATCCCAATTCCTTCATAGGCAAGAGAAGTATGTGCTAAATTCACTCGTGGTGTGGACTTCAATTGGCAAGCCCAGGCCTTGTTGGCCCTACAAGAGGTAAGAAAGGGCAAGGCACAATTGGGTGAGGGGTGAGTATGGGAAAAGGAGGCATTCTAGAATTCTACATGTCTACCAGGACATAATGAATCCTGATGGTGCATTGGTTAAGTGCTCACCTGCTAACTGGAAGGTTGGTAGTTTGACTCCACCAGTTGCTCTGCAGGAGAAATATGTGGCAATCTGCTTCTTTAAAGATTACACCCTTGGAAACCCTTTGGAGCAGTTCTACTCTCATAGGATCACTGTGAGTCAGAATTGACTTGATGGCAATGGGTTTCGACTAGGACATAGCTGACTAGATTGTCACAAGCTGACTTTTCCTCCTTTATTAAAACGAGCAAGAAGTTAACACCCAAGGATTTGGAGGCTGGATTCTTGGTTGATGGTACCAGAATTCCCAGGCACAGTTTAGTCTCATACTGTGAACAACCTTTCAAAGACTAAATTAGCAAGTCTCCAAGAAAAAAAAAAAGCCCATGCCCCCTCATCTGTGTCAGTCTTTGTATTTCTTTTCCTGTCCCTAGGCAGCAGAAGCATTTCTAGTTCATCTCTTTGAAGACGCCTATCTTCTCTCCTTACATGCTGGCCGTGTTACTCTTTACCCAAAGGATGTGCAACTGGCCAGGAGGATCCGAGGCATTCAGGAAGGTCTCGGCTGAGCTGCAGTCTGTATAACTGTGAACCTTTCCTGCTCACCAGAGACTGAGTGCACTTTGTAGAAGAAACAGTCAGCTTTCACCTGGGGTCGGAGTTTCTCGAAAGGAATTTCCGTTCTTCATCTTTAGTCTCTTGTTATCTTGCCTTTTCTTTAGAAAAGTCTAGACCAGGTTTTAACTTTACTGTTTGGGACTCTGTGGCTATGCCTTTTTGTACAATGCTAAATAAAGACATTTTTCTATAAAGTAATGACTAGGACAGCCTAAATCTCTGACAGAGTAGAGCCTCTCCATTTTACAACCAGAGACCTCATTTTTGTTATGAGAAGTTTTCTTAATTTCAGGGATGATACCAGGGACTCTCCGGAGCCATGGCCAGATCCATGGAGCCTGAGGTGATGCCTGGATTTAACCCTCGCTGAGCAGTGTGTGTGTTGCTTTTTTTTTTTTTTTTTTTTTTTAAGAAGACTGGATGGCTTTCCTCTGTATAAGAGGTAATATAAGAAGCATTCAAAACTGCCGAAGGCCTGAGAATTATTTTCAGATACAAAGACTCTGAGGTTGACTTCAGTTTGTTAGTTATTTGTATGACTATTTTCATAATTTTTACGATAATAGCTTGACTGGATTATGGGAGAAAAGGAGATTTACTTATTTTGGACCTTTGTGTGCTATTTACAGCTTTTACAATATGTATATTTACTTTTATTTGAAACATAAGGGAAAAAAAACATGAGAAGACCATTTTGGTCGGGTTACACAGAAGAACTGGAATATCTAGCATACAAATCTCTGCCCTTCAAGTTAATCTTGTCTTTAGTGCAGTGTCAAGTTATTGAGTGGATTGTGCTGACAACTTTATAGTTTTTCAAAACCTTAATTGGATTGACATAAAAAAATTTATGTTTGATGTTCTAGTTCCTTCCTGTAAGTTCTTTGAAATGATTCAGAAATTCTAACTTGTAGAATTTAGCATTTTATTCTTACTTTTAAATCACAAAAAGATGTATAAGAATTTGTGCTTTATAATTTTTTATCCTAGGATTTTAAAGTGCTTTTTCAATTGTTTTACAGATATCTTTATAACTTCTTTGTGAAGAGATACTAAAAAATAATTGTTTAATGAAACTTTTAAAACAAAAGTTATTGTTATAGCATGCAGAGATTACATTTTTTTTTTTGTATATTAACATTAAGCTCTATATTTTGTATTTGTAAATTTAAACAAGAGGATTGAGGACTGTATTTATGCCTCCAATAGAACAGATAAAAACCTTGCCTTTCTGTTGTAACTGAAAGCAGTTTGACTCTTTCGTAACCTGTGGTACATACCACTTACATTTTTCACCTCTGGGGTTCCTTGGTGTGGTGTTCTGAATTAGGTAATACTCAAGTGAATATTTTTTTTTATGACTCATCCCACCCATCCTACCACAAGGTCCATTGGGATATATGTATCCCACACAATATTTATCAAATTCCATCCTATCTAACAACAAATTCAAAAATCTCTGATTCACCATGCATTCCATTAGCAAAAAAAATTAGAATTTTTTTTTTTTTTTTTTTTATGATGTAGGACATTATCTATATCAACTGTGTTTTGCCATTTGACATTAGATGTTCCCTGTGGACCACAGGGTTTTCAAGGCTGTGACCTTTCAAAAGTGTATCACCAGGCTGTTCTTTAGGTTCATAGTTAAGCATTTAGCCATATGTACCACCTTTGTTATTATTGTTATGTGCCGTTGAGTTGGACCCAACTCATAGCGACCCCTCTTTGGGTTTCGAGGCAGTATCACTACGGAAGTAGATTGCCCATCTTCCTTCCGAGGAGTGGCTGGTGGGTTTGAACTGCCAGCCTTCTGGTTAGCAGTCAAGTGCCTTAGGCACTATGCTACCAGAGGTCCTTTTGTACCACCTTGGGACTCCCTATATGCTCTAGTTATTCATTCTACAGATAAAGAATGGAAGCTCAGGGAGGTTAAGTAGCCCACCAGGGAGTTCAGAGCTATCAATATGAATAGATCCCAAAAGTTTTAGAGCAGTTTTAAGCTTTAATACTTCAGAAGTATAAAGGTACAAATTTATAACATCATTTGAAAGTTAAATTATTTAAATTTTCTTTGTACTTAGTTTTTTTTTTTATTTTTAAAAAACAACTTTCTAATTTTTTTGGTCAACCTTTGCCATCTTCAAAGGGCAAAAAGAAAATTTAAATAATTAATTTTCAAATGGTGTTTCTTTGTGACTTCTAATGTTATTCATGCTTAGAACTGCACTGAGATCTCAGGACCCCATTATTTTAAAACTGAATAAGCTTGAGTGTATTGTCCTGTGTGACAGTATTTGACAGTGGGATAGGGGCATCTAGAAAAAATTAGAAAATCTTACAAACAAAATAATTCAGTAATGAAAGCGTTAAAGAGATTTCCAGAAAAATGAGAAGTACCACCCAAAGATTTTATATTTTGTATATGATGAAAAATGATTACTTAGGGCAGAAAATTAATAATGTGTCAATCAGCTGAATTCAGAAATAGACTATGGGACAGAACCAAGTTCTATTGTTTAATGAACAAATTTTAACCCTTCAGAAAAACTTCTTACTATATTCCACATCAGCTCATATTTTTGCAGATGTTAAAATAAAGCTTATTGGTCCATAAATACATTTAAAGTTCTTGTCAGTGTCATGCATTAGATTATAGTCTTCCAGTGATTTTCTTTAAATTCACACTAAAAAAAAAAAAAGAAAATTCCAACACCTCAATAACAAACAGACAAAAATAATCCTATTAAAAATGGGCAGAAGACATGAATAGACACTTCACCAAGGAGGATATTCAGGTGGCCAACAAACATATGAAGAAATTCTCACGACCATTAGCCATTAGAAGATGTAAATCAAAACAACAATGAGATACCATCTTGTTCCAGCACTAGTACTAAAGTTCAACAAGATGGAAAATAACAAATGCTGATGAGGATGTAGAGAGATTGGGACTCTCCTACACTGTTGGTGGGACTATAAAATGGTACAACCACTGTGGAAAGCAGTATGGCAATTCCTTAAAAAGTTGGAATTAGAAATTTCATTTGACCCAGCCATTCCGTTACTAGGTATATATCCTAAAGAAGTGAGAGCCATGACAAGAACAGATATATGCACACCCATGTTCATCACAGCACTATTTACAATAGCCAAAAGATGGAAACAACCTAGGTGTCCATCAACTGAGGAATGGATAACCAAACTTTGGTACATACACACAATGGAGTACAATGCAACCCTAAAGGATAACCTAGAATCTGCAAAACACCACATAATGTGAATGAACTTGGAAAACATTATGCTGAGTGAAATAAGTTAATCACAGAAGGACAAATATTAGTCCATTATTAGAAAAGTCAAGGAAAGGTTTATCTATGGAAGGAAATTTTCTTTGTTGGTTACTGGGGGTGCGGGGGAGAGAACACTGTTAGATAGGTAGAGATAAGTATTGATTTGGGTGAAGAGAAGGGCAATGTACCAACTGTGAGTCATCAAGATGGTGGCATTGAGGAAGACAGACAGAGGTACATGGGAGGCACAGACAACAAAGGTGAACCCTTTTGCACATAGAGTACTGCATTGTCAGTGAAGGCAAACATGGGTATATGAGTGGATATAGATGGGTGGACAGGCTGAACTATTAGGTATGTCTATGAAGCAGGGAGTATACCCAAGACCATGCATAGGGTTGGCAGACAATGGCCCTAAAAGTGTATTTGTATGATTTGAATTCCCAGGTATAGAGTAGAGCTGACAAGGGACAAGATTGTAGTCACTTCTTGGTCACAGCCAGCCACCCAAAGGAACCAAATAGTTGAACCTGTGGGCTCGGGACCATAGTCACGGATATCAAGCTCAATTGGCATAACATACTACACAAAACTGTTCTACCTCCTATTTTGGCAAGTAGCAACTGGGATCTTAAAAACTTGCAAGCAGCCATCTAGATGCAATGATGGGTCTCTCCTCCTCCAGAGCAAAGAAGAATGAAGAAAACCAAAGAGTCACGGAAAGAATTAGTCCTAGCGACTGGTACACCATGCGATCTGCAGCCTATATGACTATGAGACCAGAAGAACTAGATGGTGCCCAGCTACCACTGTCAACCACTCAGAAGGGGATCTGTGTAGGAGATCCTGGATGGAGAGGGAGAACAGTGTGAAACAAAACTCAAAATCATTTGGGAAAAAAAAGGTGGGGGGGACACCAGGTTTGCTGGTCTGATAGAACCTGGTGGAACCACTGAGACTATGGCCCCTAGCTGCCCTTCAGGTCTGGAATTGAACCCACACCTGTGGCTTCCAGCAAACAAAAGACAGGCATATGAGTTGAATATTTACCTGAGGTAGATACACTCCTTGGAGAGAAAAATCATGGGAGAAAGAAGGGCTGTTTATGCACAGAGAGACAGCTCAGGGGGCAGGGGTGCATGGAGGGATGGACACAGAGAAGAGGTGACTGTCAGGAGGAAGTGGGAGGGGAGCTGTTGCATTGTACTGAATTGTGGTCAATGTTGTGAGACAAAATGTGTGTGAACTACTGTATGGAAAGTGAATTTGCTCTGTAAATTTTCACCCAGATCACAATATAAATAAATAAATAAAGCAAACCAAACTCACTGCTGATGAGTCAAATCCAGCTCACAGCGACCCCTCCTTGGGTTTCCCAGGCAGTATCACTATGGAAGTAGATTGCCCAACCTTCCTTCTGAGGAGTGGCTGGTGGGTTTGAACCGCCAGCCTTCTGGTTAGCAGTCAACTG